ACTACTTTTAAATTTAATTGAGTAAACTTAGTAAAATTTAGTCCTCTCAAATTTAATAAAAAACATTCATAAAAAGACATTTAACATGTTAATGCTGATTATACAGGCTTTTCCACTAGCCAGGTTTTACTCAACAAAATCATTAAGCTTAGTAACTTTAAATCTCTTCTTTACTTAAAGTATCATGTGTTTTTAAATTATTTTACAGCAAAATTTCTGTTTTTTTTTCTACTCTGTTTAAATTATAGCTAAAATGGATGAAAGATATTTGCAATAAATTGCTAAATAAAGATGCAATGCAATGCGCTTAATTTAATATAAACGAATGAAGAGTATAATTAAAGTAATAATTTACTGGAGTATTTATAAATGTATTTTACCCACAGTAAAAATTGCTTAAAATAATGTAAAATATAACACAATAGTTATTAACGATGAATTATGTTAACAACACACTCTTAATTATTTCTCAATGTAAATTTTACAGTTACATAAAACATGGGAATTTCAATCCATATGGTAACTTTATAACAAACCGCCACAGTTAATTTTGGTGCAATTTATATAAATTTATTCAAAATCTGACATAATATACATAATATGCAATGAAGTACATAACTTTTTTATTTTACTTTTAATCATGTTTTAAAGTTATAGGATAAAATTTATAAATATGATCACTAATTCTAAAAAAGGAAAAAAAAAAGTTAAAAAGTAAATTATAAGTAAAATTATATTCGATACACACGGAACGATTGTAAACGTCATACACAGTTAAAACAGCAATAAAAAAGTTGAAGCAAAAATAAAAAGTTCACAATAATATGGAATTTAATTTTTTTATTCTATATATCTTCAACAATATACCACACCCAAGAATTATAAACTATTTTTTCTCAATTACTTTTAATTATTATTATTATTATTTATTGTTATCCATTATAATTTAATTTTTGTATGAAATCCTATAAGTGGTATACTTTTTCATTCTTTATTCATTCTAAATAAAATAAAAATGACTACATTCATAAAGTAAAAAAGTAGGACTAAAATTGTTTACATCAAATTTTTAACAAATGAAAAAAGAATTAATGAAACATTACTATCTAAATAAAAATTCATTAAAATCACCATTATTAATCATATTTAATGTTCAAGTGCATGCATATTAATTTTAAAACTGCGAAAAGTTAGCATTAAACATAAAAGATAAATGTTATAAAAGAAAGTGAGTTAAACTCTTCATATTAATATTTAAAAGATATAGATTGGTATAAAGGATTTGAAAAAGATGATAAAAGGGATTATAAATTCAACTCTTTTATTAACAACCAATAGTAAAACATAAAAAATAAACTAGTATAAGACCAGAGTTTGTGTTAAGAATATTCTATAAGACGTTAAAGCCAAACACAAGACTTAAAGTATGTAATTAGGATGGTATTTTATTTAAGTAATGAGACATGTAACACGAGTTGATTACTTTTGCCTGAGTGTATACACTTTACAGATATATTATGTGAAGAATGATTAAAGGGATAAAGAAGACAAGGAGTGGCAAACAGAGGGTTAAGTTTCCTAATCCCATTTCATTAATTAGCCCTTTCAGCTTTCTTCATCTAGAAAGTCAGCCACTCGTCATCTCATAATTCATGGTTCATTTCATTCATATGTTATATACTTTGACCCTTATTCCCCAAGCCACCGTTCTTGGACTCAACATTCAAATATTCTCTTTTTCTGTTTTTCCCTCAAAACCCTCTAGACTCACTTAGCTATATATTCAAACTTCATCAATTGCTTCATATTAAAAAACAACATCCAGACACAACAGAATACTAAGTTATCATGGGCACTCTTGTAGGGCATGTAGCTCCTGGTTTAGGCTTCATTCTCATTGGTCTCTGGCACCTCTTCAGCCACATCAAGCTCCATGCTCTCAACCCCACTTCCTACACTGCCCCAACATGGTTCCCCACCTCCAAATTCAAATACTTGGAGCTTCTCCTCATCATGGCAGCCTCCCTAGCCTCCATCTCCATGGAACTCTTCATAGGCCCAGATCGCCACCAACCCTTCGACCCTGATGGAACCATCCCCTCCAACCACCTCCACAACTTCGAACACTCCTCCATCTCCCTCACCTTCCTCCTCTACGCCGCCTTCGCCCTCCTCCTCGACCGCATCCCTACCCCTTCCAAACACGCCCTAACCCAACTCCTCGGTTCCATCGCCTTCGCTCAGCAGCTCCTCCTCTTCCACCTCCACTCCGCTGACCACAGTGGACCCGAAGGACAGTACCACTTCTTGCTACAACTCATAATCTTCGTCTCTTTCTCAACAGCTCTCATGGGAATCCCCATGCCCAAAAGCTTCGTAGTCAGCTTTGTTCGTTCCCTCAGCATATTCTTTCAGGGCTTGTGGCTCGTCGTCATGGGCTTCATGCTGTGGACTCCAGGGCTCATCCCCAAAGGTTGCTTCATCAACGATGAAGAGGGGCATCAGGTGGTCAGATGCAACGACCATCAATCTCTCCACCGCGCCGTGGCCCTCGTCAACATTCTCTTCAGTTGGTTCGTCGTCGGAGTCACCGCTTTCGGCCTAGCGTTCTACTTGGGCCTGGTTAAGTTCTACGGCGAAAAGGTGCGATACTTTGCATTGGGGAACGAGGAAGAAGACACAGACAAGGAAAGTGACGATGTTGAGTCGCAAAAGAGAAGCGTAGTTGGCAAACCAATGAGCTTTATTCCAGTTGGCAAAAACTTTTCGCCTCTCGACATAGAAAGGTAGAGAAGAGAAACATTAAAGATATTCATAATTTGTGATTAGTGGTTGATTAATAGTTGATTAGGTGTGTGGGTGTGCAGTGAGATTGGAGTGTTAGCGTTTGGTGGGGTCCTCTTGGATTAATTAATTGAGGCAGCAATAATGTTGTTGGTTCATGGAAACTTGTTCGTGTGGGTTTATAGTTATGGTAACTGAGGACGAGGATTTGTTTCAATTGTGTGTACTTTGACCATATCATAGTCATATCACACTCAAAAACATTATTAATCAACTGTCACTATTTTCGTGCTTCTACGGTTGTGGAAACGAGTGCAAGAAATTTCCCACATACGTCAAATTTGGGTTATAATCATCACCTTCATTCCTATTACCATTGTCTTTTTCAAGTCCTTTGCAAACGAGGAAACCGGGGGCGATGATATTACCATTGTTAATTAATTAATTAATTTATTTACACGAAATTAAATTATTCCCGAGCACGTAACTTAAAAAAAATAAAAAAAATAAACAGCTGCAGTCGTGGAATTTAAGCTTTTCAAACATTATCCATTTATCTTCAAACTTAAATATTTTAATATTTTGAAAGATTAGTTTCTTGATGTGAACTGAGGGTACATGTTCACCAAAAAAAATGTGTGGTGAGAGGTGTCTCGTATAATGATTGTAACGTGTAAAGGTGCGTGTACGCTGCTATCTCCTGAGTTGCTTGATAAATGTGAGTATAATTTTGACTAATATTTTATATTAAAATTAATTAATTTAAAATACAAACAAGCTAAACTCACAAAGAGTTGAGTAATTAGTTACCAATTAAAGTTTGATGTGCGGGTAACGGGCCCGCTTGAAATAATATAACTATCGATAAATGTAATATTAGACGTTTAAAAAATACACTACTTTAAATGATTATATATATATATGGTATTCTGTAATCTAAAAAAGAAGTATATGATAGTTCATAGAATTTTGTGTATATATAGATATGAGATGTCATTTTCCGATAGTTACCTGTGGTTAGATTTCTCTAGCCATCAAATCAACGTTGCTTTCTTGCTAAATGGTGAAAACGTGATAAAATTTGGTTGTAACATCGATGGGAGTGAATAAAAAGAGAAGGCAAAACGAAAATAACGTTTTCGCGGGCAATGGAGGCGCAAATGGAGAAGAAACATGAACAAAGAGAGGGGCATTCTATCGTTTCGAATGAAGCTCACGTCATTTTGAAGTTTGCACAATTATTTTATGAAAGTAATTTTGTCCAACAATTTTTTTATAGACTTTACTTATATCCAAAAAAGATTAGATTTAAAATGAATAGAATACTCATAGACTATTTAAGACAGTTTTTTTTTTTGGAATCATCAAACTTATGAGAATATAAAGTCAGATGCTAGTGACTAATGTATGTTTTGTTTACGGTTTTCTAAGAGTGATTTTTTAGTTTCTTAATGTAATTGTAAGAGAATAATAATTTTTTAAGGTAAGCTCAGAAAGGCATGTATTAGATCGTATGCTTACGGATAAAGTCAAAATTTAAACATTAGTAAAGAAATTTGTTAAAAGAGCTTCCTAAAAATAGACATATATCTAGAAAACATTTTCACAATTGTTGTACGTATAGTAAGAGCATAAAATCATTAGACAAATGCTTAAGGTGTAAGGTAAAGAAAATATCTTTTCTAAAGTGTCAGTAATGATTAGGCAAACATTTTTACTGTTTTTTTTTCATCATTTATATTAAGAATATTTTTAGTGTGTGTGAGAATTATTTTTCAATCACATTCATCACTATGATCATGCTATTAATTGGTTCGAAATATCTAACAAAAGTTTTTTCTATTGCAGATGAAAAAAATAGTACTATACATTAGCTAACAAAAGCTTGTGAAGATCAGTAGGTGAGAAACCAAAAAATAGAGATTTTGAAGGAAGAATGAGATCCATGTTTTGGCATGAAGTGAGCAGAAACATTCACCTCAAGCTTCACATGAAGTGAGGGGACATCCAGCGAATATGTTTTTGTACTGTTGCCAACAAGACGAAACTAAACACAGCATCCAAATTCACATTCTTAGCATTTTAAACACTCATCCATATCCCAAGAAGCAAAACATCCAGCAATTATGTTTTCATGCACTTGCCAACAAATTCATTTCAGACAATTTACGTCGGTTTCATACACGTGTAACATGCTAACAAGTCAAGCTCTGCGCCCAAATTCACATTCTTCCTAAGTTCAATTTCAGCACAACAATGTAACACAAACAACTTCTGCCAAGTGTACAGGTATTCCCTTGTGTCTGCTATGCAAACATATTATTTCGAAGCTCGTATAAATTATAAATAATTATTAAAGCACAACTAATAAAGAGTTGTCATGAACAATATACAAAATCAGATCGCAAGATGATTCTCCAAAAAAAAGGTTTCGCTCCAAAGATCAAACATCTTTTTCTTTAAAATTAGCAAAATCTGAGAATTGAAACTCCTTTAGCTATCCAACAACACCACTACACCCAGGCATTCTCTCCATTCTCCTACTTTGCATGACTCTTCTAACTAATGATACATCCTCCCACCTTCCTGCATCTGCATATATGTTTGATAGGAGAACTTTACCACCGCCGTGAGATGGTGCCAACCCAGCCAAACCCTCTGCAGCCCTCTCTCCTATATGGACATTTCCATGAGTTCTACATGCCGCTAATAAAGTCCCCCATATCACAATGTCAGCCTTCATTGGCATGCTCCTTAACATTTCCTCAGCCTCTTCTAATAGACCAGCTCTGCCCAAAAGATCGACCATACAACCATAATGCTTGATATCTGGTTCCACATTATATACACTCTTCATGATTTTAAATATTCTTCGCCCAGGCTCCACCAGCCCGGCATGGCAACAAGCACTAAGAACTCCTATAAATGTAATTGCATTGGGTTTAATATTATACCTCTGCATACCAGAGAAAACCTCTAGGCACATGCTTGCATGTCCATGTGAAGCTAACCCACATATAATTGCGTTCCATGGACACACAGAAAAGGTTTTGTCTCGGTTCTGATTGAAAAATTGTAAGGCACTGTCGATGCTTCCACATTTAGAATACATATCAATTAGAGATGCACGTAAATTGTCATTCAATGGAATGGATTCATTACACATGTATTCGTGGGCCCATCTTCCTGCCTGCAATGAGCCCATGGAGGCAATTGCAGAGAATACACCCACCATGGTAACTTCATTTGGTTTGATCCCACTTGCTACCATTTTATGAAAGAGTTCAAGAGCCATTCGAGACTGGTCTGTTTGTGCGTAGCCAGAAATCATGGAACTCCATGAAAACACATCTCTTTCAGGCATCTCCTCAAAGATTTTCCTTGCTGGGTCCATCATTCCATTTTTTATGAATCCAGAAACAAGAGCATTCCACGATTCTAGGTGATCCTTTACACCCACTTCAAATTGCAAACAAGCAAGGTCCATCATCCCACAAGCTGCATAAAAATGGATGATGGTTGTCTGTATAAAATTGTAACAGTCAAAGCCTTTCTTGACAACTATTCCATGCAATTGCAAACCATCACCCATTGCATTCAGACGACCGCATGCTGAAACCAAATTCACAACCAAGATTTCATTAGGTGCAAGCCCAGTTCGTAGCATTGCACGATGCATCACCAAAGCTTCATGCAAACAGTTCATTAGGATATAACCATCAATCATTGTGCCCCAAGAAATCACATCCTTATCAGGAATTCTCTCAAACAATTCCCTGGCCATCTCAACAAGGCCTTCCTTTGCATACCCGTTTAACATTACATTCCACGAGACCACATTCACTTCAGGCATCTTGTCAAACAATCTTCTTGCTTCCCCTACACCTGAACAAAGACAGTACGCACGCATCAAATTCGTTGAAACAAGAACCAACCCCTCAAGAAACAACTTAATAGCCAACGCATGAATCATTTGACAATTCAAAATTTCACCAACATGTGAGTAAGCATATATTACATTCGCCAGGGTCAAATCATTAGGGACCACCCCATCCGACCTCATGTCCTTGAAAACCACAAGAGCTTCCCGAAAGCAGACATTTTGAACAAGACCCATTATCATGGTAGTGTAGGAGACACAACCTTTGTCAGGCATTCTGTCAAACAGTTTGCGGGCATTGTCCAATTGACCAGCTTTGACATACCCACGAACCATAATGTTACAGGAGACAGGATCCAACGTGGGACAAAACTCAAACAGAATTTGGGCATCATTAATGGAACCGCGTTTTGTGTACATGTTGATCAAACTGTTTTGAATGAAAGTATTTGAGTGGAGTCCGAGTTTTAATGCCAGAGAATGGAATTGGCGGCCCTGAACGGAGGAGGAACAGCATTTGAGTGCGGAAACCAATGCAAGCTCGCACTCGTAGTGATTCTGGTGAAGCCTCGCATTGCAGAAAATGCGAATGAAGTATTGTGGGTCCTGCACCTGTGGAGGGGCTTTGGAGGAAGTGGAAACGGAAAACCATCCTGATCTTTGTTTCGGGTTTAGCGATGGAAGTTCAGTCGAAAGAGGAAAGGGTAGAGATCGAGGTAAGGTTCTGAGTCTGAGACTCGCAGAAATGAACACCAACATGAGGCGCGACCATTAGACTCAAGATTCGATCATCTTTGTCTGCTGTTGAGAAATTCTAATTCCTTTTCAGGATTAAATATTTTCATTTCACGTTTAGGTTAAGGTTATTTTTCTTGTTCTCAAATTTGACTATTTAAATATATTAATTTAGAGAGAAAAACGCTTTTAGTTTCCATTTTCTTATTTCTTTGGTGCCTCAATAAGAGGTTAGATTAAAAAAACTAAAAATAAATATTTTTTAAATTAAAAAATTAAAAGATGAATTTAATTAAACTGAAAAGTGTAAAAAACTTTGAGCTATTTTAATCTCTATACTTATTATTTTTATTACTTTAGTCCTTATATTTTTAGTTTAATTAAATCTGTGTTAAATACATTTAATCTAATTATTTTTCGTTAGATTAGTATAAACATTAGTATCATATGTGTAAATGTCACGTATCTCAGATTGTAATATTTTTCTTTTTTAGAATTTTTTGTTAAGTCATTATTTTTAAAACAATCTTACTTACCATTTTCATAAAGTAATAAACATTCTTTCTCATTTTTATTTTTATATAAATATTCTACTATCTTATACTCATAATAAGTTAATACAGTTTATAATGTATTTTAAAACCTTTTGATTTTAATTTTTTATGTTTTAGTATAATTTTTTACATGGCTAATATATAATAATTAAATCATTCGATTTTTTATACTTTTATAATTTTCCATGTAAGTTTAAGTCAATATATTATTTTCAAATAAAATAAAAAGATAAGTGTCATTCGTTAAAGGAAAACATAAGAAACAAATAGTGTCATTTACTAAAAACAAACAGTGAATGTCTATTTACAAACTATAAGAGATTTGAGTATATTTTATTGAAAACTTCAGAAGAGATTATTTTCTATTAAAGCGAATATGAATGCTATTTAGTATTATATTATATGGGTAAGGGTAATTTATCCATAAAAATATTATCCATTATAGAAGACAAGTGTTTTTCAAGGAAATATCAATTATTACAGGCAAAAATATTCCTTATACGGTTTTATCACACTATTTTACCAAACGTGTTATCTTTAGACCGAAATGTCATCTTGTCGACATTTAGATTATTCTAGACGTTGAAAATAACATTAACTATTTATATGAATAATGAACATACTTGTATTGACTCAATTTTAAAAATGATAAGAAATATATTAGACAAACTTTTCCATTTATTTAATGACTGATATATATAAATTAATAAAGCGCTAAAATCCTCTCTATCACTACTTCTAAAACACTTCCTTATCAGTAAAAAAAGTACCAGATTAAAAAAATTTAGACCCACATACAGTTCACTCAATAGGAGAAAATTTATTTATAGGTTTTCAAATTAATAATCAGGGAAAAAGCGAGTTGGAAACTAAAAGCACACAGTTTCTTGCAGGGTAGAGGGTCCAAAAACGGATTTAGCAGTTTCAAAGGTGTAATGAAACATAAAAGTCCACGTTTGGTACAATCACGATATTGACATCATGAACTAGTCCATCTATGGCCTGAGCATCCATTTCAATCCATAATGTATAGTTTCGAGGAGTAAGCAATTTTAGGACATCTACAATTAATGAAATGCGTCGATGATGAATAACATATTTATTGCAGTTAATCCTGTACGATCCTTCCAAACTTTATATAGACTACTAGATTGTGCAGATATAAGGAAGGATTGTTAAGACCAGATTGCTATTTTTTTCTCTTAAAAAAAAAATGGTTCTAATCAGTAGTTTTTCCAGTTAATGAGAACCGGAGAAAGATATAAATGAGATGCCAGGTATGAAAACATCAGTCAATCAACGATGATCTCCTCCATTAAGAGTAGCACTGGGTTGGGTCCTGCTCAAATCATTAAAACCAGAAGTTCAGATTTACCAGTCAAAAAGTTATTCAAGTCCATCAAACAAAACTTCAAGCATGCAATTCAACTAGGTAACATTTGGCCCAACTGTTAACCCCTTAAATGAATAAATTCCTCCAATTGCCTTTTGTAGAAGCGCAGTTTCTTAGCATTATATTAAAGAAATAAAGTGTTTTTACATTCTAGAGTTTCTTTAAAGTTTTAGTAAGTCCGTCTTTTTCAGGAGAAAAGAAACCAAGTTGGCCAAATGCATAGGGGATAGCCAATGATTTCCGGAACAGATAAAAGTTTTAAGATGTCCACAACTTGGATTCAGTGGGGGATAACAACAGAAACTTAAACAGTAAAGTTTATGAGAGAAAAAAATAAAAATAAGACAATTTCAAAAAGTAATTTACCAACAAACTTCATAGTCAAATGCAGGACAAGATGATAATCAGTAACAAGCACATGTTGATAATTATTACACGTTTATACTAATTCGGAAAACAATGATTATAGAACATAGGAAACACAGTCTAGGCTTCATGCTTTTGTACCAAAGTTTCTAGTGTCACCAATAATTGTAATGTTAATAATTAGTGAAAAATATAAAATTGTGAGAGAATCAAATCAAATTTCGAAAACCAGCTGTTTACGTTTGAGGTTACAACATTTCTAACTGGTGAAGGTAAGAACAAAGACAAAAACAGGCCCATAGGAGACCAGAGTAGCATATTATAGACGTCTCAAAGCCCCAACTTCTTCCATAGGTAAGGTAACATAGCCCTCTACAAGGCACCCACCTATTGAACAAACAGTTAAGACCCATTTCCAAAGTGATCACAACCAATAGGCATATTAGTCAACTTACAGATAAAGTAATACACACTGTGCAACCAATTATTTATATCTAATATAGGCTAAGTCAGATTATATTGAACAGTTATTTAGCTATAACGTTATGTTGGGCATAATAAATAGTGAAATGTAGTTCGTAGATAGCTTTGTTGAGCAAAATCCAGGAGGACTAATAAAAGCCAGTGTACCACTACAAGCTTCTATTATTGCCGTCATAATTGCAATATTGTATGATGAATGGAAACTGACTGATATAAGATCCTAACCTTTTTGAAAAATAAAGAGGAGTGATAACAACACACTCTACACTCATTCTACTGTTGGCTAAAATTTAATGATGATCACAAATTTTGGAGAATTTTATTTCTTAATGAGTCTCTCCTAATTCTAAAGTGGGACCTACCAAATTTTTTATTTTGAACAAATTCCAGTCAGTAATAAAGGGAGTATTGTTATCATCCCTCATGTACAAACCAATGATATAACGACGACGACGACAAAATACACGGATATGATACCACGCACATTTAACATTGATACAATGCGTATCTAACACGGCGATAAGATGACACTATATTTGCAAAATACCTATTAAAAAAATTTAAAAATATATAAAAATTCATAAAAGACAAAAAATATATAACAACAATTGTGAAAATCCAAACTAAAATCATAAATAAATTATAAATTATATAACATTGTCATCATAAATTTTTTCTATTATTTACATACAGAAAAAAACACAATCAGTATTACTTTTTTAGAATAATTCGTAAATAAAGAGAACAATTTCCCTCTTTGTTTTACGTAGAGACCATGCTTTATGTTTCTATATTACACATATAAACGTTTCAAAAGCTTGGACACTTCATCAAAGGTTTGGATACTCTATAGATGTATCAATTAAATATCCTAGAGTATAGGTATCACATCTGTACTGGACACGAATACATGAAGCAACTTATAGTACCGGTGTTTCTGGGAGCTCGCAATTTATGTGATACTAAAGCGATTTGTGAGATACAATAAACAATTCAAACTCACAACACCCAGTGGCCATCACGACTCACATCGTCAAGCTTCTAAATCGTATCGTATTGTGTGATACTAACTCCCATCCATCTATGTACTAGACCAAACAACATTACAGATTTTACACTATTCGAAAATGCGATTACCTCAAATTATAACACAATTACCAAAAGTAGATTGTCTTGTTAGTTGGACTACTAGTCCAAACTACGTTGTGTATACAACAATAACAAAATGATCTCTATGCGCATATGAAAAACCTCTTTACAGGGATCCCTTGATATATCTCAGATTTCTACCCATAACTAAATAACACTACTTACAACAAACAAAATATAAAATCCCTTCATTCAGTTCCCAACTATTCTCCAACATCCTCCAGTAGTAGATTAATATTTGGGTCCATCAAAATGTCAATTGGCTTGCAATCCAGCATACCCGTTTATTCCAAACTTCCTTTGAGATATACAAGTGCTTGCCCTGCTAAGCTACCTTCATTTCAAAAAATGCTACAACCATCCTAGCTTTTGATAATGTCAACTTCAACATATACAACCAAGTAAATAATTGGTAGATGAACATTTTAGAAGCAGCTTTCTATTTCGCTGTGATCCATAATCTACTAAATCTCCCAAACAAAGCATCGAGTAAAAACCATAAGGGTAAGACAAGAAAGCTTACAACATGCGCAACAAATATGTTAAACATAATGTACTCCTGGACCACCATGACTATGCACTTCACAACCAAGGAAGAAACTGAATTTGAAGATTCACCACTTATATATGAAGCATGAACTAATTTGCAGTCGTGCCTCTTGAGCAGAAACTCAAATTAGACAATGAATAAAATCCTCGGCCAAACTGAATATTAGGGGCTGTCAGCATTTGGTTCCAGACAGAATCATTACTCTAATGAAGATCATAAAGAACATAGGTCATGCAAACACTATTAAGTCTAGCCACACTCACTGGTTATTATTGTATTAAGACATAACAAAGGGGCATCATCGGTCATCTCGAGGGTGGTCATAAATTCAATGGATATAATTTGAAAACATGCTCCAAGCCTTCTTCCATATCACATAGAATGTGGCATAGCAACAATAGTGACTCACCAGATATCCATAAGAGTATGACAAGTTGACAGTCTGCTTATTCAGAATCTCTGCACACATTTTTATGGATTTCTACTGATTCTGGACAACATGATCATAAAGTATTTGTACCATGAAACCAAATCTTGATAAATGGAGATCATGTATTTCTTATAATAAGTTTTCCCGATAAAAAAACTGCTCTTGTTGAAAAAGACAAAGAACACCTCAC